GAGGTAGACGGGACATCACGATGCGGAGCAACAAAAAAGCCCATTCGCCCACTGGTAATTCCAGTCGCCTCAACGCATTACAGGCCACTAAGACTGGATCCAACAGGTCCGGACGTAGTCTGGCTCGGTCACTAAGCAGCGGGAGGCTTAGAAGCTGCTTAACATGCTCGTCTGCAATTCGCCGGACGTTGGCGTATCTTCTGGCTAGGAGGTCCCGAGCAGTCTGGTAGGCGTCGTCCGACAATTTCAAGTGGCCGACGACGCCCAGGGCCTCCCCCTCCAGTGAGGCCAGGAGGTACGCCATCTTTTGGCTCGGGGTCAAGTCACTCCGGGCGTCCACTAAGCTGTCGAAAAGACCAACGAAGGTCAGCCATTCGGAAAGGACCCCGGAGAACTTTGGCAGGTCCAGAGTTGGGAGTCGTCCCAACAGCTCCGGCTGAAGCTGCTTCAGAGAGGACTCGGGCAGGTTACTCATCCGAGCTTCACGCGCCTCCTCGGCATACCTGCCTTCAGCCTCGATCAACTCGTCCGTGAGCCACAAGAACTGCTCATATTCCGCAAAGCAAGAGTCCAGGACTCCCTTCTCCACATCCGAATCCTCGAGCTCAGCGTAAGCCTCCTCCACTGCGGCCCTTCGAGCATCCACCTGCTCGAACCGCTTCATCAAGTTATGGACCCTATCCGGTCGACCTATCAAAGCATGGGCACTTGTGGCCCAGCGTAGCTCAGTCCACAAACAACGGATCAGTAGCTTGGGCGATGTCATCACTATTAAATGCAAATTACGACGCGGCTTGAGCACAGATTACAAAAATAACAAACAAAAAATACAACAAAAATTAACAGTTAATAAATGCAGTTCCTATCAAATCGCGTTGAATAGAAATTACACAAATACGAATCACTACGTATCAACCAAATACAAGTTAGCCCAAAAGAAAAGACACAATCAAACCAACAAACAACAAATACTAGTGCGATCGAATCAAGTTAAATTCAAATTGCGCAAATACAAATTACTACTCTTTAGTTCAAATACAACTTACAGTATAAACGAAGATACACATCACGGTCGATCAACAAAAAATGCCTAGCTCGGAAATCGACCCTTCGATAAGTAATCCACTACAACTATCCGACCACGATAATTAACCGATTACGTAAAAATAACCATCTACCTACATGACGTATATCTCTCGAAAACTCCCGCTTGCGCAACCTAGGGCGCGGCTTTTCAAATCTACCTACTAACCAAAAAAAGGCAAGCAACAAACAACTTAGGGAAATAATTCTATTATTACGTACAAAAAATATTTTTACGTATTACGGACGGGCGTGATTGTAGATACAAATTAAACCAATCAAACCAACGCTCCCTGCCACCAAAATTGTTTAATGTTTATCAAACACTATAGTCGGGATCGACCGGGAATCGAACCCGGAACCACGCTCTGCTACCAGAATGTTACGGCCTACGGCTGCTCTCTTAAAGGATCAGACCTTCAGGGGCCCATGAGCTGAAGACCTCTCGAGCAGACGTAGGTCGGGCCTCCCAAGGCCACGTGGAATCTCTCTAATTACACTAAAATATATGGGGGAGCATTATACTACGGCCAGTCGACCGGAAGGAATTTGGCGGAGTTCACTTACCTCGATCCAAGACGACTGGTCCCTCCGGAGTCGGTCAGGTCGCATGTAGTTGTGTAGTGCAAGGGAAAGAATGGTGATGTGGTGTGTATCTGGGTGTGACTGATGGTGATTAAACCTGGACCTTAGCCGTCGGCAGCAGCCCGAGCGTCGACGCCGCTCCAATTTGAGGGGGCCTTTCGAGGTTATCCACAGTCACTTTCTTGGTTCACCACGATGACAGTCACTTAACTCTATCGTTCGATTAACTAGCTTACAGAAGCCACTAACTATCGCGGGGTATAAGGTTACCGCACAAAACACGCCCGGAGTTTCTGGGTCAAAGGTCACTACCGTTTCGCGTGGCAACAGCTAGTTCTAAATACCGAGGCCGCACTAGCTTATATTGTCGAATGCACTTATGCAGGTTCTGGGTCAGACACAATAAGTCCCGGGAAGCTCTCAAGTAGGAATGCGCGTCACAAATCCTAGACCGTATATTTACGGGCCGCACCTAATTATTCCGAGTTCCCTAACAGAACGGACCGCGTGCTCACGTCAGCACCGATTATGGACGATTGACGCGCTTGCGACCCGCGCGCCACTGCCACGCTCGGAAGAACTTCAGACCGGAATCGCGCCGAGCCGAGTGACATCTGTTGTCGATTCCGACAACAGAGTTTTGCGCGAACAACCTTATTATACTTCCAATTTTCCGATAACTTTATATCAAACTATAATTTAAAAAACGTTTGGAAAATCCATAAGTGCACGACTCATAATGCTCATATGATTATCATATCATCATTCAGGTCACTCCATAAAGTTCAAGACGTATTTAAGTATAAATATTTCACCCTACTTACTTTTAGTACGTACTACTATTATTCATTTTGTGCTTCTAAAATATTTTTATAAAAATCTCTGTATATTATAGTGATCAAGTATGTATGAAATTTGGTTTTAGGAATATTTTGTATTCGTACAGCGATCTTTTTGTGCGCTGCAAACTACCGATACAGTATCCACACATGACGGCGTTTGACGCCGATCTGAGTAAGTGAGGCAACATTTTTACTCAATATTCTATTTAGTAAAAAAATAATTCATACAAGGCTACTAAAACACCGTATATTTCGACATTTTGCAGCCGAAAATAATTAATTATAACTAAGCAAAATAAAATTAAGCAGCCATTAACATTCAATGGCTTCCCACATAATAGATGAAGAGTTTTAAAAATAGATTGAGTTGTACAATTGATGTTTTCAAAAGTTACCGTGTTTACGAAGCCACGCGGACTTGATAAATCCACACGATAAGCCTTAGTGCCTAACCCCTTTATATGTAAAAATAGCAACTATACGATTAAAAAAAAATTAATAAGTTCAACAATTATTCATCTTTCTGACAATGTGCTTTTATATCATTTATTTATTTATTATTTTTACATCTACCTTATAATACGGGATATAAAGGGCGGACTTAATTCCTTGTGGCATTCTCTACCAGTCAACCCTGGATGATTTGAGAAGCTGTGGTAGGTGCAACACCACTCCATAAATTAATAAAAGTGAAAACATTATATCTCATAACAATAAGCAAATAAATAAAATATTTTTAAACTATACAAACCTAATATTATCTACTTTGTAATAAAGAAAAAAATAATAGTAAATATATAAACGGATACTTATATATACAAAATCTCTAAATAAATATAAAATAATATAACACAAAAATAAAATAACATGATGCATATTAAAATACATATTTTACAAAACATCAATTACAAAGCGAAAGAGTGAGAAAAACAAAAATCGGATAAATCAGGTGGTATTATTCCTGTTAAAGAATTCTCGAACTAGTCATTTAAAATAATGTTTGTTACTGGTTTTCTTATATGAACAGGCAAGGTATGCCAGAGCAGTATGGACTGCACAGTAAAAGAGGAATTAAAGAAACCACTCTTATGTGGTGGAATACGAATTTTAAGACTATTTTGGGGACGGGGAACTCTATCATGAGTAGAATTTTGGTACTGAAAGTTATCCTTAAGATAAGAAGGAGAATTCGGGTCATTTAAAATTGAATATGGTACTTGTAAAATTTGGGAGCTACGCCTTTGACGAATAGAAAGCCATTTAAGCTCAGAACGGTACTATAAAAAATGGTCATACTTACGTAAGCCGAAAATGAACCTAATGCAATTGTTGAGAAGGCGCCCCAACTTATCGAGAAGATATTGAGATAGATCTGGGTAACACACATCCGCATAATCAATGATGGGTTATATCAAAGTCTGGACAAGTAGAAGTTTAGTTTTAAAAGGTAGAAAGTTTTTGAGACGGCAAAGAGAACGTAAGGTGGCAGTAACTCTACGGCTTATTTCAGCAAATTTAACTCCCCAGCTTAAAGTGTGGTTCATATGTAAACCAAGATTTTTTACAGATTTACAAAATGGCAACAATGTTCCATTTTAAAATACGGAAGAAAGATCATCGTTATTAATCTTGGCTAATATTCTGCTACTACCTATGTATAACCATTACCCTACATTTGGAAGGGTTAACCGAAACACCATGTCTTTACGACCAATCTCTTATGGCATCAAGGTTGTGGTTGATTTTGTTAATATTATGGTTAAGGTCATTAACACTAGATTGCACATAGAGCTGATAGAGATTTATATGTATAATATGGTTGCTAGATAAGGTTGCTAGATAAGCTAGATAGATTCATGCGACAAAACGTTGAAATCTCAATTTTTAGGCCCTATCAGAACATACCTGCGCGCTTTGCGCTTACGGCATGCAAAAATAAAACTGCGGTTGCACGGCAACTTTGGCAGAGGTTTTTTTTTTTCAAAAACGTTACCCCCATACTTGGATGTTATCCTGTATCGTGAAGGCGGTTTACTAACATAAATTGCACAAGAACAAACATCCAGACCCGAAACAATTATTTGTAGGCCATACAAATACTCGTTCCGTGCAAGATATGTATATGGGAAAGTCATTCCGAGGCCTTCATTCAGCAGGGGACTTTTATAGTTTCCAGCCGATGCATCGGCGACTGCCGTCGTTATTGTCGATGGCTTTGATTATCTCTGCCTTCAGCCAAGTAAAGTCCGTGTCTACGCGTTTTAGGACATAATCATATTACATTATTTAAAAATATTTTTTCACACTACATATTACAAAGATTTTACCACATTCTTTCGGCTAATTCTGAATAGTGAGATTATGCAAAATAAAAACTAGTATGTCTGAAATATCTTTGACAGTGCAAAAATATCTAATTCATGTACAAATATATTAAATTGCTTATACTGAATGAAGGTTGAACTAATAAGAACTTTTCTTTTTTTGCAGATGCTATAGCCTTGCGGGACGTGCAGCTTATAGCCCCATCGGCAGTCAGACTTGGAGATACAGTGCTACTCGGTTGTAAGTGGACATTAGAAGGAAACGAGACATTGTACAGTGTAAAGTGGTACCGAGGGCGACAAGAATTTTTCAGTTATCTCCCCAAGGAATATCCGTATACAAGGATATTTGCGCAACCCGGCATTGATGTCGACGTAAGTGGAGTGATTTCTTTATTTCTTACTTAATTTAATATTACGATATGTCGAATAAGAAAATGCAGCATCAGCACTTTATAGAAAGGTAAAGGTAACAAACGAGCAAGTATTATATTAATAATAAATAAACTAAATTAGTCTATGGATGCAGTTTAATAAGTCGATGGATGCAGGTAGCTCAGGACCTTGCTTTGTGGCATTCCTTGGCGAGGCTTATGTTTAGCAGTGAACTTGTGAAGGGCTGTAATGATGATGATGAGCTAAATTAGTCCACCTGATGTAGCCCATAGAAAATCTACAGTTATCATCGATTAAAAATTAAAATGCAAATACTTTGCCACCCCTGAGGACTTAGCTGGAATGACTTGTTACGAGTAAAGAGGGTCTACGGCTCTAGTCACTCACCATACGAAATACAGCAGCATTATGCTGATATTCTATGCTCGTGTCCCGTGCGAACGTGATCCATCCCCGTGTCGACCCATTCGTGCTGCAGACGTGACACTAGCGTGGATCTACTGCGTGAAGACTAGTTACCGTATTATATATACCGTGAACCCTGTAGTGGCGATATAATTTTTTTTTTATATAATAATGGTAACAAACGAGCACACAGTCCACCTGTTGGTAAGCGGTCGCTGTGGCCCATAGACATCTACATCTATCTTCGTTTGCGAATTAAAATGCAGATGCGTTGTCGGCCGTGAGTACTAAGATAGAATGCCACTTTTCCAGTAATAAGGGTCTCTGGCTCTCTACACTCACCATACGAAACACACCAGCATTAAGCTGCTATTTTATGCTGGTATTCAGTGAGAGCGTGGTCCTTCTCCAGTCTACCCGACCCATTCGTACTACAACTATACTATTAATATAGCTGCAGTATGGCTCTACTACGTATAAGTATATATAATATATCCACACCCCATATCATACCGTGGGTGTCGTAAAAGGCCACAGAGGAAAACTAATCAGGTGATGGGCAGCACCGTTTTCCTAATAACAACTAAAAATAAAAATAAACTGCGATTGCCAACCCGCTTGCTTAGCGTGGCAATGCCAAATATAGGGTTGATATGATTCAATGTATAGGGTAAGCTTATGTTCAGCAGTGGATTTTAATAGGCTGTAACGGTAACGGTAATTATATACCGTATCGTGAGTTATATTCTAGCCAGAATCAATAAAATTCTAAATTGCAATTGTTAATTTATCACGTGCTCAACGGTATAAAAAACATCGTTTTTACACATGTTGCAGCATGCTGCAGCTATAATATGGTCGGAGCACAAATGCTCAAATATTCTCGACGATGGCGACGATTTTTTTTTAAAGCGCTTTAATTAGCTTGGTATCTATTTAACGAAATTTTTGATTGTTATTTTTAATCCCCTTTAAAACGTCTGATTGATTTGAAACTTCGCACACTTATAAAGGACTGATGAAATTACAATAATTTAAATAGTTTGTCTCATTATCCTTGCCAGTATTCTCAAGATTTGCGAATATTTCATAAAAAAATTACGATTTCTGCCAGTTCAATCTACTGTAAGCCGCGTAAAAGAACTTCGTTCCAAAAAAAACACGATTTTGTAGTTAGTCACACTAAAATATAGAAAATAAATAGTACTAAATAATAATAATACGCCTCGGACTTCTGTACAATTTGCCGAAGGGTATGTATGTGGTCTATGGTGCTAAAGCCTTTTCGGAAACCGGCTTGTTCGGGAGGCTGGAAGTCGTCAAGTCTGCGCGCGAGACGATTCGTAATGACTCTCGAAAACAGCACGTAGACGCGGCTCAGAAAGGAAATCGGTCTGTAGTTCTTCAAGAGAGCGTTGTCGCCTTTCTTGAAGAACAAGACCATCGCACTTCTGCTCCATGCCTCCGGTGTAATGCCACCATGGAGGACGGAATTAAAGAGCTCCTGAAGGACTTCAAGTACCGATTTTCCACCCGCTTTCAGAAGCTCCGCTGTAATTCCATCCTCGCCTAGAGCCTTGCCGTTTTTAAGGTGCTGGAGAGCCATTCTAATCTCGCTCAGACTGACGTCCGGGATATCATCGGAATAATGTCGGATAAGACTCGCTCTTGGATCGTTACTCACACTTGCGTGCGGCTCCAATGATGATGTGTACAGCTGCCCATAGAACCTCTCAATCTCACTCAAAATCTCAGGTGCCCCGGAAACGATGCTGTCACATTCGGTCTTCAGATTTGACAGTTGGCTCTTTCTGGCAAACAGATCTCTGGCAAAGATTTTGGAGCCTTGGTTCCGCTCGATCGCGTCTTCAATACGAGCTGTATTGAAGTTGCGTAAGTCCCACCGCATACATTTGGAGATCTGTCTGTTCATTTGCCTGTATGCTGTCAAATCTGTTGAAGAATGTAGCTTCATCTCTCGTCTAACAGCCATGAGATTAAGAGTGTGATCGGAGAGTTTTTGTGTTCTTCTGCGGCGGGTCTTGCAGAACTTAGCTCCGACCGCATGGACAGTTTCCACGAGCTTGTCATTCAAATCGTCCACTTCATTGCAGTCTTCTAGGCACTGAAAACGGTTTTGTAACTCGAGCTGAAAGGTTTCGGGACTTTGGATTAGAGTACGAGGGGGACGGAGCGTTGACTTCATTAGACGAGATCTGTCCAACTTAACGTTTAGGTTCAGTGTGCCTCTAACCATTCGGTGATCGCTGCCGGTTTTCACCCTCGCGATCACTGAGACATCTCTGAACAGTTGTCGTCTGGTCGTCATATTGAAGTCAATCTCATTTTTTGTCGAACCGTCGGGGCTCGACCAGGTCCACTTCCTGTGGGGCCGCTTCTGGAAAAAAGAGTTCATCATAAAGAGTCCCTCTTTCTCCATGAAGTCGGCCAGCTGCTGGCCCCTTGGGTTCCGTTGCCCTATTCCAAATTTCCCCACTTTCAGCTCACCGTTCTCTCTTGTGCCTAGTTTTGCATTGAAGTCTCCCATTATCACCGTATATTGGGTTTTGGGGGAATGCATGGCTCTAGAGATATCCTCATACATTTCCTCCACCTCCTGATCGGGGTGTGCCGAGGTTGGTGCGTATACCTGTATGCCCTTTAGCGAATACCGTTTGGTGATTCTGAGTATAAGGTACGCAACCCTCGTCGACACACTCTCAATCTTTACAACGTTGTTAACGAGAGACTTGTGGACGATAAATCCGACACCTCCTTGGGACAGATGGTCGCCCTCCCGGTAATAGAGCAAGTTGCCGGATTCGAGGATTGGACCGTGTCCTCCCCCTCTCTTTGGACTTCGGATAATCCTATATTATGCCAGCGTAACTTGTCTATCTCTTCTTCCAGCTCCACAATCTGCTCGTCAGTCCTCAGGGTGCGTGCGTTGTATGTTGCCAGGTCGAGTCGTCGTAGGTGGCAACCGAACCTCCACCGGAGATTCTTAGCACCCCCTGCCCCGCCGTTACCATGGTCGCCACCGTAGCCAGGAATAGCGGGGCGCCGGGGACTGGGGGCCGTCTCTTCGTAACTTTCATCATGGGGGGTATATTGCCAAAGTTGCCACGCTTGGCGAGCGGGTTGTCAACCGCAGTTTTTTATTGTATTTTGCCGTTACCAGGAAGATGCTGCTGCCCATCTCCTGCCTGTTTCCCTTTGTCGCCTTTTACGACACCCACGGGAAGATATGGGGTAGTGGATATTCTTAACCGCCACTATACGGTTAAAGCCTTTGAATCCGTCGAAATTTGGGCGGTGTTGCAGTCCCTTCAGCGATTCCAAGTTGACTGTCGGTATATCGAAGATTTGAAGTGCTTGTACAGTATGGCTACGATGGCTATCCGAGTACAGAACCAGAGTACGAAACCTATCCAATTGCAGAGAGGTGTAAGACAGGGTGACGTCATATCCCCGAAACTCTTTACCGCTGAATTGGAAGATGTTTTCAAGCTTCTGGACTGGAAAGGATACGTTATCAACATCAATGGCGAGTACATCACTCACCTTCGATTTGTCGACGATATAGTCCTTATGGCAGAATCGCTGGAAGACCTAAGCACTATGCTCAATGACCTCAATAGTGTTTCCCAACGGATAGGTCTTAAGATGAACATGGACAAAACAAAGATCATGTTTAATGTCCATGTCACACCTATGCCGGTATTTGTTAGGAACACTAAGCTCGAACTTGTTGACGAGTATGTTTACCTGGGACAAATAGTCCGACTAGGTAAGTCCAACTTCGACCGAGAGGTCAATTGATGGATTCAACTCGGTTGGGCAGCGTTCGGGAAATTACTGCACATCTTCTCGTCAGGTATACCTCAAAACTTGAAAACGAGACTGTACACCCAGTGCGTGTTGCCAGTGATGACATACGGAACTGAGACGTGGTCCTTCACTGCTGGCCGGATTAGGAAGCTCAAGGTCGCTCAGCGAGCTATGGAGAGGGCTATGCTCGGAGTTTCTCTGCGTGATAAACTCAGAAATGAGGATATCCGCAGTAGAACCAGAGTGACCGACATAGCCCAACGGATTAGTAAGCTGAAGTGGCAATGGGCCGGCCATATAGCTCGAAGAACCGACAACCGATGGGGAAGAAAGGTTCTCGAGTGGCAGCCTCGTACCGGCAGGCGAAGTGTAGGGCGTCCCCCCACTAGATGGAGTGACGACCTGGTAAGATATGCAGGAAGTCGATGGATGCAGGTGGCTCAGGACCGTGCTTTGTGGCATTCTTTGGGGGAGGCCTATGTTCAGCAGTGGACTTGTGAAGGGCTGTAATGATGATGATGATGATAAATAATTATAATATATTGTAAAAAAGCGTGGGGTGCTTTTTCAGATATGTTTATGATGACGATATTTTTACAAATATCCACAAAAATATTTACAACAAATGGCATCAAACACCCCACGTTATTTTTTATGTTAATCACTATTTTCTTATTTTAAAATTATTGATAATTATTTTCGTTTTTTTGTTCGGTTATCTACAAAAGCGTGTTTTTTTAGTT